TATGTATATTCTTCTGCTGTTATAGATGTATGTGTTCTTCTTTCAGCTGCATTGTCAATCCTACAGAGTTAGGTATTCTTTTTCTTTGGTCTCTCCAACCGCACCTTAACTATCTTGGACTTACTGATTGACTGACAAATTGCCTGACCTTGCCATTCCTGTTATGTTTTATGCCCACAAAATGTGTTAACATCTTGCTTCATTTTGCTTTGGGTCCAAGAGGTAGTGTTCCTTCCAGACTTACTATATGAGATCCAACAGCTGGAATACAGAAGTCATTCATCAGAAAATGAGTTAGGCTTTCTCTACATTTATGTGTGTGGCAAGACCATAGTGGAATTTTTTTAAAAATTCATTAGTTTTGTGGAAATAGTACTGGGAAGAGGTTATGGTAGAGCTCTTTGATTTGAATAACCACAGCCATCCACACCAGTGTATTTGGCATCTGTAGTAATTGGCTTCTTGGAGGTAGAGATTGAATAAAGAGGGTTTTCTTTCCCTGAGTTGGCTGTGAGAGTGATAAAGCATGCTTGTGGGGCCATTCTGGTTCAACTGTTTCTCACTTTAGCCAAGAAACCCACAGGCAGGAATTACGGTCCACTCTGCCTTCTTACTCACACCAGATGGTTAGGGGATCTGCAAGATGGAACCAGAATGTTGGGTTTAATGTTTAACTTTACTGGGTATGTTTCATTGTATCACAAACTTTTATACTTTTATACTTCATAACACTGAATTGTGGATTGCAGCCAACTGACATTTCTACTCTCCTTTAGAATCCTGAGAGAAGTTGTGAGAGAATGAATTGGTTGTCACAGAAAGCTAATAAAGTCTTTATCACTGCACCTGACATACCTGATCATTAATGGTCTCATCTGGGGAGTTGTGGCAATATCGTCTTTTGTTCCTAGAAGGGCATTATTAGACTGAGGAATGCTATCAGAAAATTTATGGGGGACAAAGTTGAGCAGAGCCACCATGGGAAGGGTATAAACTAGCAATTTTCTTAGTAAGGAGATATTACATTTTAATAAACCAATGATGACTCATGGTGATGTTTTCCTCCTGATGGGTATGCCAGGAGGAAAGTCAAAATCAGACAAAGGAATCTCCCAAACTATGAAACTACACATCCCAGGTTCCTTCCATCCATTCAAACTTGTTGCTGTTTTGAGCAAAAAGTTTAGATAAATGAAAAAATTAGAGTATGTATTAATTAACCCAGCATCTAGAAACCAGCATGGACAAGAGGGATATAGCTTAGATCTCCAGAGATTCCAAGAGTTTTCCAGAGGATTTCACCTATGTGGAGAACTTGGTGTATTTTTTTTTTTTAATTTTCTACTGCCTTAGTTTTTTTAAATTAATTTTTTAAATTATTATTTTATTTTTAAACAATATTTGCTTCCTCCCACCCCCTCAGATTGAGTCCCCATAGAATGTCCCGTGTATTTTTTTAAGACTTATTTATTTATACGAGAACCGGAGTATAGGCCAGATATGTGGGAGGGTGAGAGGATTCACCAGAGACAGAGTGGGGAACAAAACAGGCAGACTGACTGAAATACACTGCTGAGGGGAGCAGTGGGTAAGACAGGAGAGGTCTGCTGTGCCATGTAGGTTTATCTGTGGGCAGCCAGGATTGCGGACATCTTCACAGTGCAGTGCTCAACCGCCTGTGCCACCAGGGAGACCCTGTCCCATGTATTTTTAAGGACTATATTATTATAAAAATATTTTCACTTTTTTATTTTACTCACTTAGTAAATATAAATCATATTAAATATATAAAATTATATAACTAATTATATTGTCAAATTATATAATATGTAAATATTGATTCATTTAATTTTCTAAAGGTTCAGTGAGGAGTCAATACTACTTTTAATTCCATTTTACAAATCAGAAAACTGGCCCATTGTCATGCTATAGTAATTGACCATGATACACCGTCAGTAAATGGTTAAGCTAGAATTTGAACCCAGGCAATTTGTCTCCAGAGAATTTGTGACCAATCCTATACATAGGATTGCACATAATTAGACACCAGATTGAGTTTTTTATTTTGCTTTATTTTCAAATGACGTAATACTGGCCTTTACATATTATTAAAAACTCCTTATATATATTGTTTTAATGGCTATTTAGTATTCCCATAATGTAAATGTACTACTATTTACTTAACTATTCTCTATGGTTGGCCATTGGGCTCTTCGGTTTTCTACTAAGGCATCTTCCACTGTGATGACTGTGTGCAGAATTTCTTCTGTTGGAATGTACTTTGGGATATAATCTTGGAAGTGAAATCCCCATATCCAAAATATGGATAGTTTTAGGATTTTAAATATAGGTTGTCAAATTGTTTTCCCAAAAGTTTGTACTTTTTTTTTTTTAATGTCTGCAACACTGTCTAGAATAACCTTCTTCAACATTCTCACTCCAGCACTCTGATGATTTTTAGAAATCTTAACTAATAGGTAACTAACAGGTAGACTATGGTATTTTATTGTTGTCTTAATTTTCACTTCTTAATGACAAGACAATTGACACTTTGTCCATATGCATTGATCAATTATATGAGCATTTGAGTGGTCTGTTTATATCCTTTACCTATCTGTCTACTAAAGTTATGCAAAAGCCTTTAAGGGTAAAGGGGGAAAAAACCCAGTAATTTTCTGTTCTTTCTTCTTCTGTTTGACTGGAATTTCCTTAGGCATTTTCTAGTGTATTAGTTAATCTTTCTCCCAAACCTTATATGGATATTTTTCTTGGTTCGGTATAAAACATACTATTGTTCACTTACAAAGAATATTATTATTTTGTTTTCTATTGAGTGTGCTCTGTGCATAAATCTACATCAATACTTGGATCATAAACTCTAGCGGGCCAGACTGTGTCTTTATGAACAGGAAAGCATACATTCATTAGTTTCACACAACAATAAAACAGCAGATTATCCAATGAGGGTAATCTGTGAAGTAACATAGGCTACCTTGAGGGTACTGATCAGAAACAAGATGGGATATATATGATTGTACTTACAGACAGTTAAAAAGAACCCAAATAGCTCTTCCCTACCTGCTGATGGTGGCAAGTTTCTTTAATCAGACATAAAAACCTTCCAGTCCTAAAAAGAAACCATTTTCATGGAGTTAGTACAGGGACCATAAAAACCTTCCAGTCCTAAAAAGAAACAGTTTTCATGGAGTTAGTACAGGGACCCAAAGTCCATGAACTAGTTTTTTTTCTCCATCATGTAATGTTTATGGAAGGAGCCCTGGGGCACTTCCTCTACTAACCCCCCACCTTTTTCCCCTCCAGAAACAGAGTAGTGACATCAATGACAACTGACATGTATAAAGCACTTTACAATGTTATGTATGTACTTCCATATCCAGTAACTCACTTGATCTTCACAATAGCTCAATGAAATAGATAATAGCATTCACATTTTACAGTTGAGAAAACAGACACAATGAAATGGAGAGAGATTGCAGAAGAGCTACAGCGCTCCCTTCAATAAAGTAGCAAGTGAAGATTTCTTTATTGTATTTTGAAATTATATTATACTAGACGGAAATAATCCATTGGCTTAAATGTATCAAAAAGGAAGAAAGAAAAGTGGCATAAAGGTGTGCAGGATCATAGAAAAAGAACACATAGGACCCCAAGGAAAATTCCATTAAATGAAAAAAAAATTGAAAGAGAGAGAGATAAATGAGATAAGATTAGCAAAATATTGGTGATCATTTTTAAATATTAATAAATCTTTCTGGGCCTCCCTAGTGGCTCAGGCAGTTGAGCACAGCGCTGTGAAGCTGTCCGCAGCCTCTGCAGTGCCAGTTCAATCCCTGACGGCCGTGGAGATACTCACATGGCAAGCAGACCTCTCCTGTCTTGCCTGCTGCTCCCCTCAGCAGTGTATTTCGTCAGTCTGCCTGTTCTGTTCCCCGCTCTGACTCTGGTGAATCCTCTCACCCTCCCGCACATCTGGCCTGTACCCCAGTTCTTGTATAAATAAATAAATCTTTAAAAAAATAAATCTTTCCTCTATGTCCTTATTTTATTATTTATCCACTTCCAGTTTTCCCATTTACTGCAAAACTTAATAATAATAGCCAATTGAAGTCAGTCTGAAGGAGAAAGGCAAATACCAGATGGTGTCACTTATATTGCAATCCAGAGAAACCAAAGGGTCAGGTAAAGTCAAACTCAGAAACTAGCCCTTGAAAGCATACCGTAGAAATGAGACATGAAGAAGAGGAGGGGCAGGGAAAACGGCAAGCACAAAATGGGGAGGCAGCACAGTAGACTATGGTGGTGGACTAGGCGTGGTGATAGCCCTGTGGTAACAGCACCAGAAGAGGAGGAACCTATACTTCCAAAATATAAAAGACAATGTAAGCCAAGGTTATCTCAATTATAAAAAATCAGTAATAATAGTAAACTGTAGTATATCCAACTTTGGGATATTATGTATTTTTTCTATCAAAATAAGAGGAAGCTATAAATGTGTTTGAATTTATCTGTTAGAAGAACAGATGGCTGGATAGATTCTGCGTTTTTAAAAGGTGGGCCTTATTTTGAGCCTTTTTTCAGATTTTTAACCAAATATAAAATAGAATAGACTATGAGATAAAGGAAATGAAGGAAGATGCCCTCGAAATCTGAAAGGACCTAGAATAGAAATGTCCTCTGAAAGCCAGGCCTTCAGTGTCTAGGACTCTTGGAGAGTCTAGGGAAGATGAGAAGCTCTTCAGCTTCAGGTCCTAGAACAGGAAGTAAAAATGTAGAGTCAACAAGCTTTGGAAGCCCCTGAAGGTAGATGACCTTCTGCCAAAATAGAGTGTTTCTAAATGCTTTCTCAGGCTTTATAGGTGAGCTTTAAAAAGTTCAATGGTTTTGTCACGTGAAGCCAGGCTGCGTGAGGGTCCAGCTGGATTGGTATGATCCTCAGAACTTGTGCCCTGAAGAAGCTCAACACAGTGCTTGTATTTCAGGATTTTATGGACAGCTGCAGACATTGTGTCCCCCCCATTACCCGGACTCCCAGAGAACCATGCCGCCCAGCAGTTCCTGCAGCGTGGTACCTGCCTTTGAAGACTGCTTGGTCCCCACATCCATGGGCCAGGCTGGCTTTGATGTTTTCCACAGAGCCTTCTCAACTCACTCGGGCATTACAGGTGCATTGGTGTCTGTGACTTAGAAACTCAGGCAGGCTGAGAGATGAGAACAAGTGGATTTCCTGTGAGAAAACTGGTCTAGGCTTGATCCAGCACATGGTTGTATCAAATGCTCTTGAACCTACCACTGAGATGTCTCTGAACTTCATTTTTCTCTCCTGCCCTACTCCAGCCTCACTTATACCACACCACTTCAGAAGCCATTATGTATCTCCCAGACTATGACAGCAGCCTTCCAACAAGTCTCGCTGAGACAACTTATCTGTGTCATCCTGCCTTCCAAGCTAGCATGAACATTGCCTTTCAAAAAATGAAGGCTGAAATAAACCACTTCCCTGCTCATATGACATATAATTTTCAGTTACCTAGAGAAAAAAGCCTACTCTTCTTGACATGATATTCAAAGCTCTCATGAATTAGGCCAGATCATATTCTCCAGACCTTCCCTCATATATGTCTCCCTACATAGTCTGCATCTGAGCTTTGTTACCACACTTAGCCTTATATACCCCCTCCTCTCTATTTTTGTTCTTTCTTTGCTGCTTCTGGAACTTTCTTTCCTTCTCCATCTGTGAGAATCTATTCTTTTTTATAATTCTTTATTATCTCCTTTTTGAGGCCAGTCTCATCCTTTACTTTTATTTCACTTTAAACATTTTACTTTTATTGCAGCCTAGCCCATATTTTGTGTCAAGACTTATTTTGACATCCACCGCTAAGTCACCCTCTTCCCCAACCAAGGTTCCTATCTGAAGGTCACATTGAAGTCCATAGCTCATCATGGTTTCCTCCTTAGCCCCCAATCAGCATTAGCTACACTTCCGGGTGGGTGTGACTAGGCATTATTGACTGCATTATTGACGTTATTGACTTTCTGTGTTCATTCTCTTCCAGTGTATGATCTGCCTTCGGGTTCCTCAAGCCTCTTTGGTGAGCCTATTCGCAGTGGGCCTGAAGATGCCACGTTCTTACAGATCAGTGCTGTGGACCGTTGTCCTAGCCAGCTCTCCTCTGTTTATACTGAAGGCTAAAAAGCATCCTGATCTCCACTACCACTGGCATCAAGAACCTTTTTATTGCTTGCCACCTTTTGTTTTCATACTTTCATAGATTATATGAAAAAAGATGTCAATTGAATCAGCGGAAACTGCAAAGTCACAGTATCTCTTTGGAAGGCTGGACTGGATGGTCCGAGCTCGGCTTTGCAGCAATGTTTTCAGTGGTTCCTTCTTCTCTGGGTTTGCTGGACCAGGCGACTAGCAAGACTGTCTTTTCATAAGGGTTTGTAAAGCATCACTCTACCGGATACCTGTTACATCCTGGCTGTCAACCCTGAAAGGACACCAGTGAAATGATGTGCATGTGAAAATGTAGTTAGGGGGTCACCCTTGCTGAAACTATCCCAAATAGAGAAACACAACCCAAATTTCTAGGAGCACAGTGAACCCGGTGCTCTTCTTCCTCAGTAATGGTCCAGGCAGTGCCAGGCACAACAAGGAAAATAATCCACATCCAAGGCACAGCATGGACTCAACTCTCAGAGAAACTTGGGTTACCCAACACAGCCTGGCATTCCAGCGAGCTGGCTGCCTCTCTGCTCTTAGATATCCCCATGCTGCCAGTTGCTTTCTTTGTTTCTCCAAAAGCGAAATAAGAAGGTTCTGTCAAGCACGGCCCTTGAAAGGAACTACAACTTGTTTTATGGTCCAGAAACTATCTTATTTTTTTTTCATCTTGAAGACTTGTTATTTACACCTACTTTAAAAGGAAAAAAAAATATTTAGAGTTCTGTCCTTTGGATACACATTATTTTAATCTCCCCAGCTACATACATTTCAGCACAGCTGTAATTCTGCCTGACCCTGAACCCTCGCAGCACCTGTGAACAACCCTGGAATGTTACTTTTGCATTTAGCAAAGCCTACCTGATGGAAATGGGTGGACACACCCCTTCCCTGTGCTGCCGCAGAAACCCTTGTGGTTGACTGTTCAGCAATTCCACCTCGAAGACCTTATTCAGATGAAAAGGTTACCTGACTGGCTCACCCATCTTCTCCTCTCTGGTGCTCTGCCCAGAGACATGCTGGAAGATGTGAAAACAGAGACATACTGAGTCATGTTCCTGGCTTCTCTTGGAGAACCAAATTAGAGATGCCCAGTGTCCGGTTATTTTGCACAGCCTCACTTTCCTTTAGGATATCCATCCATTCTGTCTGTCTGTCTCTCCTTTACACTTTGCCTTGCCCTTTTTTGCATTGTTTTTACCCTCTTCCTGATTGTGGTTTAGACTTGCCCACTGTGCACCGTTGCCTGATCATCCACTATTGGCAAGGTCTGACCTGAGGCAGGTAGAGGAAACAGTTCTGGAAAGATGGCAGAAGAAGGTAACCTTTCTTCTGAAACTCTGGTTTGAGGGCCTGGAATTTTCAGAGCATTTGGCCATTGAATGTCACCTGAATAGGAAGCCATTTTCTGTGACACCTGTGCAACACTATTCAAAATCTCCTGAGTCCTTTGAAACGGGCTGCAAAAATTACCCAGATCCCAAAGACAGCCAGTAAATGCTGACCTTCTGGTACTGTCATATTTCATGGTTTCTTTTCTCTCTTTAAAAATCTTTTCTGAACAAAAAAGAAACAAGGCTATTTGTCAAACTGAAATAATTATAATTTTCAACAAGACAATTAAACAGCTTGGTGTCAGACTTGGGATCCAGTGACAGTTTGTATCCTGACAAACGAGTCCTTCCCGTCTGGCTGCAGTCAGTAGTGTCGGGCCTGTTTCTGGACTTCATTCCAACATGCACTAGAATAAGGTGAAGAAAGACCCAAGTGTGGGTTCCTCTTTTACAATGCACTGCATCAACCTAGTTTCTCTGACTAGTGGGCTCTGACCTGAGAAAAGACATTCAAGTCTGCAAAAGAAATGAGTTGTTCATTTTACCAAAATCTGCTCGCTTTACGAAAAGATACATGACAGGTATCTTTCCCAAATGAGCTGCCAAACTGCATGTAAAGTCCCACCCTTCTTGCAGACTTTGTGTGGGTCCTGTCACTTGACCTAAACAAGGACACATGCATGTTAACACTGGCATCCCTCGTATTGTCCTTTTTCATACCCTGGAAAGAAAGGAAATCTCTCATATCTTTAGAGACAGTCTATCCAGTCTTAAATACCGAAGCCTTTACAAGGAACTAAAAACACATTTCATTTGTGTGATGAGGAGGAAAAAGATGAAAAGGTAAGGTTGCTGTTAAGTTGATGTTGTCAGTCCTGCCTTCTGGCTTTATTAATTCAAAGTGGAAAGGAGGAAGGAGAAAGCCCAGAAACTGAGTCTCAGAAACTATGGATGTCCTTTCCCTCTTTGGCTGCTCTTAGGCTGGAGGAGATGGTGATGTGTCAGTTTCTGGTCATAATGTGGCCTGTCACAGTGACCCTACCCTCCCTTTCCTCAGGGTAGATAAAGGAAGATAGGAGGTATTGGCCACCTTCCTACAAGGCCATCTTCCTCAGCAGGAATTCAGGCTGGCCCCTGAGGGGCATTCATGTTAGCAGAGCAAGTGTGTAAGAAACAGGACCCAGTGCAGTGGAACATCACAAACCCTCTCCTACCCCTCAGTGTATCCTGATGCAAATTTGAGCTGAGGGCTTCAGGACATGACACACTCAAGTTCTTTCTAGAGTACACATGCTGTCTTTCGATTCCAGGATCTCCCCTGACCTGTCCCTTGCTTGCTTTCACATTGCAGAACATTTATATATGCTTTCCATGATTATGTTTGTAGCAATAAAAGTGGAAACCTCAAATAATCATTCCCTGCCATTTCCTAGCCTTTTTAGTCTTGATATGGTATTTTCATAAACATCCAAACGTAGATTGTCATTCCCCTTTAAAAAAAAAATAATCTGGTGCTTGTGAAAATACACCCCAAAGCCAATTATCCTATTCCATTAAAAAAAAAAAAAATCAGTGTGCCTAGAGACATTTTATTTGCTGCATTGTCTTAATTCCCTAAAGGGACTGCATGAAAATGTCAGTTGTAATTTAGCCACTGATTAGCTGTTAAATATTATTTAAATATTTACTATTCCTGTGGGGTATCTCCCTTCTCCTGTGTCTCCCCCAAATTACATAGGTGATTCTAAAGTGGGCAAAAGGTCTTCAGTGGATCACAGCACAGTTTCTGCTGATAACAGAGTGCTGTTCTGTTGTTTTTTGAATCCTCTGATGTCAAGCACATTAGTGTACTAGGACAGAGGTTCAATGCCCCTATCTGAGAACCTTGACTTTACAGTTGCCTTGAAGTATTGGGATAGTGGTTGTAAATGTTCAATTTAATTATTTGGTGTTTTATTTGACAGTTTTGACCACGTCATTTTATAACAACATTTTTTAATGGCACTTTTTGTTGGTGGTGTGGAATATCTGCAGTCACTTTTTTTTTTTTTTTTGCAATGAATAAAGCAAAAAAAGAAAAAGAAAACCACTCATTGGAGAAATGGCTAGTGTAAAAAAGAAGAGATTCCTTTTGTATAGACAGCAAAGCATCCTGTGTAATGTTGCTGACATAAAGCACTTTGGGGGAAAAAAGTGGAAATCTGTTTTCCATAAATCACACAGACTCTTGTACATAGTTATATATACTCACGTAGAGAAATGAACTGCATATATCATACTGGATATGGGGCCGATTTTACTCTAGGGGCACATCTGGTGCTTATTGTCATAAATCTTTTAAAGAATTAGGTACACTTTTTTTTCTATTAATATGTATAGTTTTGTGATTTGTCACAGTTATGTTTCATATAATCATAAGTTATTTTGTCTTGTTTCATGAAGTCCTTTTTTTATGTCAAAAGTAAAATGAAGGGATTGTGCACTTGGTACAGAATAAAACTGGAACTAGAGGATACACCCGCCTGCCTGAAATCCTCCTTTAGCATGTTGTTTTAAAACACAATGGCAACAACCGCTTTTTGTTTGTTTGTTTGTTTTATTATTTTGTTTTGTTTTACCATCAGCCTCCTGAATATTGGGATGGTAATTATAATTAAAAGCAGATGGGGGTGGGGGAGGGAATGTCTAAGGCCAGCTTTAAAATGCCGCATTGCTTTGGGCCAGAGCTGCAGCCTGGATTTAATTATAGATATGAGGACGAAATGGCAGTAAAAATGAATGTGTCCCTGAATCCTTTACATGTTGGGAGTGTCCATAAATAAAACATGAAGTTTTATTTCATCAGATTTAATTAAAGCTTTTATACATGTTTTATTGGTTATTCTATTAATCCGCTTCACAAACTGGATAAATGTGTGCTAGGGTTTGGGGTTTATTTGTGCCTTTTCAGTGTGTGCTACATCATGCTGCAGAAATGCCTCTAATATTTAGTCTTCCAGGTGATGGGGTTTCAGCAGGCTGGGCATTGGAGAAGTGGTCCTTTCTGCCCTGTTTCCTAAAACCCTGTAGAGAAAAAGGAGCATCAGCTTCTTGTGAGCTGAACCAGAACCTTTGAAGTTGTCTAATTTCCCAAAGGAGAAAGCAGTTACCATTTCCCTGGTCCCCTATAGTATGCGCTCTACTCTAAAGAGGGCCAGCTGACCAGTTATCAGCCGTGATGAACTTCCTTGCTCAGCTCCCTTGCACCAGGGGAGGTGAGGGCGGTCAGGACACTCTCGTAACTGGCTGGCTTGTTAATCAAGCACATGAATTCAAAAGATACCATGTTATCACAAGGATCATTCTTAGAACATCAGCTGTTTTCTTGCTACATCTTTTAAGACTTGTGAATTATGTTAAGAGAAGATACAAAGCAAAATGCATGATGGCTCCTGTGCACCTTGTTTGACTTTTCAGGGTGCTGGGAGGCAGGCAGCAGACCCTTCTGAGTCATGGTTTGGATATAGAAATCATGCCTACTGAAAAAACACAAAGAGCTTCTCTGCTCCTTAAAAGGAGGTAACGCTGAGATTCATCAGTTTCACTTCTCTCTCAAGAGAGTCTTAAGTCAACAATGGTTTAGATGGAAGATCTTCATAAGATTACTAGTCACAATGGCCAAAAACTGGACATGATACAACTCTCCATCAACAGCAGAATGAACAAATGAAATGCAAATGAACAAATGGTGTGAAAGTAATACAGTGAATTGTCACCCATCAGAGGCAGTGACAGAACTACTGCACTCACCAACAGAGCTGAGTCTGCCCAACTATGTTGAGAAGAATAAATATACAGCAAACCCACAGTGTCCATCTAGTTGAAAACATAAAAATTTCAATTTCAGCGTTTAGGTGGTAGAGATGTAAAGAATATCAAGAACAAGGTCATCACAAAGGTCCAGATACTGATTAAGTCTGGTCAGGAGGACTTCTGGAGTGCTGACCAGCACTGTTTTATTTCTTGACCCATGTGTTAGGTTAATCGGGTGTTTACTTTTTATTATTTACACATATACAATTACAGATTTTAGTTGAAATACCAGTGAAGGCCAAATCATATCTCCTGCTCCAGAGATCTGCAAATTCTTTCAACAAGGACCAGATAGGACATATTTTAGGCTGTCTCAGTCACTCAACTCTGCTATTCTTGCTCAAAAGCAGCTATAGATAATATACTAGCAATGGGTATAGCTACATTCCAATAAAACTTTATTTATGGGCACAAATTTGAATTTCACATAATTTTCAGATGTCATGAAATATTTTTCTTCTTTTAATTTTTTCAACTATTTAATTTTTTCAACTATTTTCAACTATTTAACTATTTATTAATTATTTCAACTATTTAAAGTCTTATTTCAAAGCTATACAAAAAAGACAAAAAAAGGACCAGACAGGATTTGTTCTTGGACCATGGGTATTAACCCTAGTCAACTGACAGCATTTTCCACAGTCCTTCCGAGAAATACTCACCAAAAGAAAAGCACAGTTAGAAGCCCCTCTCCTTATTCCTTTGCAACGTTGGGTCCTGTTCCTAGAACAAATTCATGAGTTCTATTGATGAAGGTTTTCTTTGTTTAGATTCTGGGTACTGCTCCCCGGGATACAGATGAATGCTTCGAGCCTGGAGTGCCATTCAACTTTATCTCTGGATTTGAAGTTTTTAATAAAAGAAACTGGGCACAGAGAGATCTGTGCAAATTGGAAAATGAGCACCCATTCTTTCCAAGCTAACCAAATATTTGTTGGATCTTGGCAGCCAGAGCCAACTTTTTCCTCTGAAATACTGAGAGGTTATAAGTAACGGGAAGCTTCATTTTTCTGCAGGCCATAGCTCCTGTGAGAAGCTGGAGCTGCCTCTCAAAACCTGCAGTGTTCTCAGGGAAAGGAGAGTTGGGATTTTATATTCAAAGACTCCACTGAGAAATGGTTGGAGTGGAGTCAGGGGCTCTAATAGTGCTAACGTGCCCCCTCCATGCAGCAGTAGAGCTGCTCAATCCTCAGAGCACCTTCTCTGCCCCTGGTTTCCTGTAATGCCTTAGCTTAGTTTCCTGATTCCCAAATTTGAGGGTTAGTCAGCCTGACAGTACTGCCTCTCAGCTACTCACACTTGGGAGAGAGACTGAATTCACATGGGCACAAGAATATGCTCTCTACCTCATGCTTGTGATAAAATTGGTAGTTTCAAAAATGTGGCTATTCATTGAATCCTGGATCCTTTGTTAAATATTAGCTGAAATCCTCTTCAGCAGGTCTCCTTAGTAGTTTCACATGCTTGGGTTTGTGTATGGTTTATGGCTCTGATATTAAAGCTGCTGGGAACACAGTATCTCGGGTAAATAACCTGAACTTTATGGAGCGTTTAACCAAGAGAAAACTTAGAGCACATCCAGTCCAACCTCATCATTTCACAGAGGAGGAAATTGGGGTTGTTTCATTCATTCCTTTTTTTCATTTTACTCATTCAACATTTATTGTGCATGATCAACAGAGGTAGAGTAGCTCTTATCCTCACAGAGCTAGTCGCAGGGGGATTCCAGGAATATCAAGCCAAGAGCATTGCTGAGGGCTGCTGAATGCACACCCCACAGCTAGAGTTGAATGTTAAGGGTAAGATGAAAGCATCTGCATTTTTAGTAAGCTTTCCAGGTGGTTGTTTATACAATAAACAATGCAATGGAGGAGGCAACCCATTTAACAGGGCAGCACTGTAAAAAGCACTAAACAAAGAGTGGCTTCCAGTCCCCACCTGGAGACAGGACAGTGGGTTAAGCGTTTCCTGATGGAAAGGGTGGATACCTGAGCTCATCCTGATGATTACATTAATCTTTAATAATCAGAGGAAGGGTAGACCAGACAGGGAACAGAGCAAGTATGTGCAGAGCCACCAGGGTCACCCCAGGAGCTCATTGGAAAAGTGTTGCAGTTCTGGGCATTCTGGGCAATTCTTCACTGGCCCTGTACTGCAGCTCTTCTTGTATTACCATTGTCGAATTAGTATTACCATTGTCGAATTAGTTTGCAGAATTGTTGATCAAGGTTTATCAGTGTGTTTTTTGTTTGTTAGTTGGTCTACTTGAGACCTCTCAGAGCCTTTACTAAAGTGTATTGTGTTTCTCTAAAAGATGATGAAATCTACATCACATCTGACATCCCAGCTTGTTAAGGAAGTGTATTTGCTAAGAAGAAAGATTATACTTTAACTAACAGCTTTTTACCTATCTCTAGAATTTGGAAATCTTTGGTTTGTGTACTTCCATTTACAATCTAGCCCCAAGACCTATAAATGTTAGAGGCAGGTCTGTAACAACTCATAGAGTCTAGAATCATTAGGTCAACCCCCCCCACCCCGAGTACCAGTAGAAAAGGTGTGTAGTGGAGATTCTAAAGTCCATGAAAACTCTTTAGGGAGTGTCGGAACATCAGCAAATACCTTGACAGTTGCCAGACAGCAAATGGTGTGCAATACAAATATTTGTTGAAGTTTTATACTTTTAAAACAAAATGATGCATTGTTATTTCTAATCCAAGAGCTTCCTGACTTGGCTGTGTTCTTCAGTCCAAAGTGAACATCTGTAGAACATGTCCCTGGGTATGGTACAGGGAACATTTGTACAGCTCAGTCCTTAGTGTTTCCCAAGTATATAGCGTGACCCATTTTACTGAAGAGTTGCTTCATGGAATGCCCCTTATCCTCTCCTCTGCATCTGCATGGCATATTAGGCTAACAGTCTCCCTGGAGTACTATGAGGCACATCTGTGTAACCCAACTGCAGCTGGGTCTTCTATCATCACTCCAAATCATCTCTCTGGCTGGTACCCTGTGCTCACGTCTGCTTAGACTTTCAAATGACCAGATTTCTGTCCCCAGAAAAGGTTTATGTCTGAGGCTAAGGGCTCATGATGGAAAAGACCCATTTGTGCTTCAGGCCCCCATGATCACCTGAGAAATCCAGAGCTTATTCACTGACTGCTATCCAATCCAGTTACCTTCTCTGATATCCAAGAGGATCCAAGATACAGAATCAGTTATTTGTCCAAGGTAACAGCTAATAAGTGAGACAACCAGAATAAGATTTTTAGGTTCCTGTTTCCTCTGTGATCACTTTTCCTCTGTCCCACCTCTTCTAGGATTCTAGCCCTTATCAAAACCTGCTCTCTCTTCAATAGATTTTAGGCTGCTAGGCTGAGCTCTGATTTTTTGGCTTGAGGTTGGTGCTGCTCCAGTCATGCAAATTTCTCCATGACAAAGGCAGCATGGTAAAATGTGAAGAGCACTGGTCTGGGTGCCCTGACAGAATCTAGTTGCTTATTATAGCCAAGTCACTGATGATTAGACCTTGAGCTTGAGAGTGAGATGACCTCAGAAATAACTCCATTGACCATTTTCCAATGGTCAAAACCATTTAAAAGGTTTTGACCACATTGATCTTCAATTTCTTCATTTATTCAACAAGGACCATACCTGAATGACAGGGTTATTGGGGAAATTAGGTGCCTATCACGTGGTTGAACCTTGCTTAATAAATGTTGGTTTCCCTTTTCCAGCTATTAAGATTTAAGGAGTTGAAGCAGAAGGTCTATATACCTCTGATATCCACTTGTGCTATCACTTGGCTTCCTATTCCAGAATTTTCTCCAGGATCCATGATTGCTTTTCTTTTTGGGTCATTTCCTTCCTCAGCCAAAGTGTGTTCATTGGAAAGTTTGCTATGAAATGTCCGTCACCTTCCCAATTGTTAGTCAGTCTACCTAGCAATTGGTACAC